TCTGCTAATTTTTAGACTCAGAATTGTGCTAAATCTGACATTAAAGTTTGAAAGAAAAAAAGGAATAAGAAGAAGAAAAAAAGAAGAAGGAGTCAGGGGTAAAAATGTACAAATAGACTATTGGAGAGTGATTTTGTGGACTGCGAATTTAAAAACTTTGGTCTTAGATACCTAAAATGATACCTAATCATAAACTAAACAACTGTTTTGGAATGGGTATACTTATAGTAAACATTTCCTGTTATCATACCTATTCTGATAGTGGAAACCATGATCAAACCAAACGCCACCTAATGTTTTTAATGACCCATAAGTTTTATCTTTGTGTGTTTAAATTCTTAATTTCAAATTTACAAGTCTAAATTTTAAAACTAACCATCCATCCCACACAAATTGAATTACAATTATGTTTTATAACTAAAGTAAAATATTATAAACCAAATAACTCACACTAAATTTATCATTTTAGACTAAAGTAAAGAAAAATTATGACCAAATAAGTCAATGAGAAAAGTCAATTATGCATCAAATGTATTAATTTTTTAATTGTAATGAAAGTAAATTAAACAAATAAATTAGCAAATATCATATTTTTGCTATATCAAAATCCATTTGAAAGTTATAAAGCACTAATTTGACTCTAACAATAAACAAATGAATATAAAATTTATAAAATTTTTATGTTTTTAATTTATTAATGTTAATTACATCATCTGAGTTTAGTGGTGGAGCCAGGATTTCATTATAGGGTTGCAAAATCAAACCATGAGATCAATGGTATGAAATACTCAAGAAGTTATCAAATATATATATACCTTATAATGACTAGTATTATTCCCGCACGTTGTGCGGTGATATAATTTATTATATATTAATTTAATAATAAAAAAATATAATATTTCGGTTTGGCTAATAATTGAATATATTCTTTGGTTTATTTTACTTTAGATCCCGGTTTGACTATTAAGGGAACAACATCGGATGATGTCATTATTATATAATAAATAAAATTAAATATGAAAATAATGTAATGTATGAAATAGAAAGAACTTATGTTGTCAAATAAATAGAATGTAGAATTTATAAGTCTTTTTAGTGCTAAATTAAATTATTAGGACTACAACATAATTATAAAAAGTATAAATACTATAAAAAAATCCTAACCTACCTATTTTTTTTCCACAGCCGCCCACCCTTTCTTTTTCTCTTCTATACTTCAGTTCTCACTTCTCAGCCACCCCGCGGCCCCCTTCTTTTTTCCCCCTCTCTCTATTTTCTTTCTTTTTCTCCCTCTCCTTCCTACCATATTTTTTTTTTTTGAGGGATTCTCCCTCTTCTTTCTATTCCTATTTTTGAGGGAATTTTCTGATCATTTATTACAAAGAACATGGCTCCCCTCTAATCTGGTTGATTTGTTGTATCAGATTATGATGATCAAGGTTTTCTTTAGGGATGAGGAGTGGTTTCTTCCTTTTGAGAGCCAGTATGAGAGACGATGATGATGCAATATTCCTTCTTCTACTTGGTTGAAAATGCTGGTGTTGTTGAAAAAGATGAGTTCTGCCTGATTGATTTAGTCAGTCAGTTGCCGGATATATTTTACCGTTAATTTTGTTCAATTTCAATTAAAATTAGTCTAAAAAATTAAACGATGATGGGTGAAAGTTAATTTAATAAATTTTTCCATTTTACTTTGTAAAATACATATATTAAAAATCCAGTAAATATAGTAGCCAATAAAAAGATGACATGTGTATTAAAAAAATTATTAACGAATGAAAAGATGACATGTGTACTTGAAAATTATCGATGATCTAATTAACTGATATGTGTCTTTTGAAAAAAATTCTCTTAATATATAGTAAGATATACTCAAGAAATTGAAATATCATTTTTTTTCTCATTCAAAATTTTTTATATCAACTTAATTAGTTTCAATATTTGTATTTTACACAACTTTTACAACTTAAACTAGAAGCCATATCATTATGAGGTATAAATTTATCTTTGGGAGATATTTTTAGTGTGTATATAGTTTCGATAATTAGATTTGCTTATATTGTTAATAAAAAAATATAAATATACATATTTAGCCATTAAGGGAAAAATTTTAGACTAAAAATTACAAATGTGACAACTTACGACATAAATTTTTATTTAATTTGCTTAGAATTTTTGCAAGGTGTAACCAGTAATAACTAACAACTTTAGCAAATTTTAAACTCTAACAATCATTTTGGAGAAAAATTTCCAAGAAAAAAGGACTTAGTAGTGGTTTAGTAATAGTAATTTACAAAGATTTGAGACTTGAAAATGATGAATAAATTAGTGTCTCTTAAAGATTGGGAATTTTTTTGATCAGATGGTACTAAAAGATAATTTAAAAAATAGTGACAAAATATACTTGATGGGCTTTTACATTGTAGTCTTTAGGAAATAGGTTTGAATAGTTGATTTATGTTTTGACTTATTTTCAATTTTCATAATTGAGAGTTTGTAATTGTCATTTAAAATAATAAGAAATCAAATGATACATTTTCTTTACAAATTATAACACTACTACAACATATATAACACCACTAATTGTTATTCAAACATTTAAATTTTTAGGGGTGCAAAATGTCTTCTTTTTTATTTTTTCATATGAAAAATAAAATGCCTTTGAAAAAATTTAAAACGAAGGGGGTGCGGCCGCACCTGCTGGCCCCCCTTCTCCCTCCGCCTCCTCTGTCTGACTCGACGTCCAATTCGCTCGACACCTGACCAATGCTGAGGCGAGCTCGGTTCGAACCTGATAACACTGCATGCAGGAAATATGAATTGATTTTTCGATATAAATTTTTCATCATAAATTTTAGGGCTTCGTGTTTGGTCCTGTTTGGTGTGTCCAATTTGACTCATGAACAACATGTGAGCATTAGAAAGCTGGGTTTTCCCTCTTAGCCACTCCGGAATTCGATGTTTCAATTTTCCCAAAGCAAACTTTACAATCCATTCCAAAAAGGCCAAAAAACTCCAAACTGCACCATATTTGCCTCGTTTTGTTTTGAGTCTCTGTTTTGCCACAATGGAGTGTAATCTATGATTAAGATAATTTCCATATTTGAAGATAGTTTGATATACATAGATTTTTATAAAATCAATCTATTTGAGATTGTTTTTCACAACTACAGAGACGAAAATATATGACAGAGCTGCTATTTTTATTTTTTACTACAACAACATACCAACTCCATATTAAAAATATTATGGCTGCTTAATTTTTCACTAACTTTTTCGGTAAAATGATATTTTGTCCATCTTTTGTCTTTGACTATACGATTTTACATGGTACAGCTGCTTTACAGTAGATTTTCTCGTACTACATATTCGAAAAGAAATAGTCAAGATTGATTTTTTTTTATATATATATTTATAATTTTTAGTATAAATTTCAAAACTCAACATGAGAGTATTGTTTGGAACAACGAAGTCGAATTCTCAAGGAAAATAATTTTTTTTCCCCTTTTTCATAGGATACGCACCTTCCAAATTTGTAATCTGCAATGGATGGAGGTACTACTGCTACCGTCAGTTAGTGAGGGAAATTTGGAAAAATGGTGTTAAAGCAGTAATACTACCAAATTCGGGAAGATCAACACAAGTACTTAGGATGAATGAATCTTCAATCAAGCGATAAATCCATAAGCATTAGAAAAGAATGAATTTTCGATCGAGCGGTTAAGTGCATCATTAACGTTAGAAGAATCTTAATGAATAACAGTAACACCATCTACAAATTACCCTTTTCTCCCACGCCCTTTGAACAAATGGCAAATTGTCCCATGTGTATAATTATGTACAAATCACAATCTCTTCAATTCTAATTTATGTTCTCAATTAGTTGCAGAATCAAGAAATTAATGACTTTTAGAAACACCACCATCATATCGACATCAGGTGCATCATGAGCCACTGAAACGTCACAGTATGGAAAGTGGAGTGAACTACAAGCCAATTCATATTCATGCGGTAAATTTTGTATATCAATTAAACAAATGTACATAAAGAAACTCCTAACTTATATGTTCCTGGTTTCCATGATTTGGTAATTGATAAAACTCAATCCCAAAACTTCAATTTCACAAAGTAACTGTAAGAATAAGCAGTTAAAGCACGGTAAGGGTAAACCAACAAAAAAGGTGTACCAAATAACATCATTATTACCTTTTAGCAGCAAAAGAAAGAGAGTTATTGAGAGTGATTTTGGCAAAAATATTTGCTGGCAACATATTGGCTTGGATTAGATGGTATTGTAGCATCCTCATCACATCACATGGTGGAGACCTTTTCCACCTCCCTAATGCACATAATTCATTCTTGTGAAAATGAAAGAAACCTCCAACCATTTAATTTAAGAATGAGACCAAAGCAAAGATACAAAAATGGAAAACTATCCCTTCTTTCCCTTGTTTGAAACCAATATTGATATTGTAGAACTTTGTTTTATTGCTTCAATTTCAATCTCCCCCTCTCAATACAATTACATACTACCATTTGCGAACTAATTTTTATTCAAACCGGTAAGTCAATTTCGGGAAGTAAATCTCTCCCAACAACTAGGTTATATTACTTACCAGTGTTGTATGGACCAAAGCTAAAATCTGATCCTAGCTATATTTCTACCTTCTTATCGAAATTGATTCAAGATTTTGAAACTCATCACCAAAGCTTTTGATCCCTTGGATACTTTGAGAAATTTTTTGACACTTTATACATCATCACTCAAGGCAAAGGGGACCATGAATGAAAGAAAAGTGTCTGATGCCAATACCACCATTTTCATTATTAGAGTTTTTGTAAGCTGGACCACCACCACTGCCCAATATCAAGAAACTTGTATCATTATCAAACTGTTACAATCCTTTTCACTAGCTGTCATGGTCACAAGAACAATTTTTGGAAAAACCCCTTTATATATTATAATTAGGGATGAAGTATGCAATTCCTTAATTAAGAGTTTGATCACTTTGATGCTTTCACCAGCCACCAGCAAAGCATCGGTTGTGTGAGTTTTTGTGTCTGCTTTTTGCTCATTCAACTGCTCTGATTATAAAAGACCATTTGCTGAGATGATCCATAAACCACATGGAATGAACCCCTTCCAGCCACAACTTTTAACTACATAATCACCAAACCACACTTTTAAATGTACAAAAAATTGGTACTTTATGTAAGCAAACATCCAGGAGGGACTGCAAGACCAAGTCAACAATTTCCCAGAAAGACATGTCATTAGTTTAAAAGAACCTCGGTTTAAGTTACGAAGACGACCAAACTACATGGGAAATCTATATATCAAGGAGTAGTAAATTGTACAAAGACTGAAGTAAATGGCATTGGAGAGATAAAAGGGCATCAGAAAAGGAATCAAAACACAATAAGAACGAGTCCCAAAAGACTGTAAAAGAGGTTATCAGTCACCGGTTCAGTCTGATTACACAAAGCTGGTTCAAATTCAATAAAGAGAAAGCTAAAAAAGTAAAAGCTGAAGTAATAATTACAGCAACCATTATCCATATGAAGAGAATAATGGAACAATAGGCCCTCCTTAGAGAGGAAATAAGAAGAGGGGGTAAAAGGAAGAGCTAAGGCTGCTACAATGGGGGATTGTTTTCTAAACCCAGAAAAGAGTGAGAAGAAAAAAAAACAGAAGAAAGGGAACATGCACTGTTAACTCCAATTAAATAACAATGACAGCTGCCTGGAGGTGAAAAAAACAAGAACATATGAGACTCTAAAAATGGAGGAAATGTTGAAGTTACTACTGCCACACAGGATTCCTCTTTTAGTACAAACTGCGGCAGAACACACCACCTGATTGACTTGATAGGCTTTGCTATTCTGCTTCATTGACCTGGTCAGTCTGTTGTTCAGTGTAATCTCGAACACTTGTTCTACGGAGCTCTTCAATCCGACTCACAACCTCGGACATGGAAGGCCGATTGTCTGGATACTGTGCTGCACAATCGATGGCAAGCTGCAATAATTGCACCATTTCCTCCTCCACAGTTTGGTACCTAAGCAGCTCAAGATCAAACACTTCAGATGTCCACTCCTCTCGTACAATCGACTGAACCCATCGTGGCAAGTCCACCCCTTCTTCATTTAACACTGCATGAGTGGGTGCCTTCCCAGTTAGAAGCTCCAAAAGTAGCACTCCAAAGCTGTAGACATCGGCCTTCTGTGTAACTTTCTGAGGATTAGTAACCTCTGGTGCCCGGTAGCCAGCAACACGAGTAGGTGTGGATGGGGGTCCAACCAAGTGCGCTAAACCGAAATCTGAAACTCGGGCATCATAGGACTTGGTGAGCAATATATTTGAAGACTTGATATTTCCATGGGAGACATCAAGACCTTGAGAATGTAGGTATTCAATTCCACGAGCCGCTCCAAGGGCAATGCCAGACCTAACCTCCCAATTTAATGGAGTTCTACCAGCTCCTTTGTTCCCTGAACATGATATAACGTTGCAGTTAAGTGACTACAATTAGACCTACTAAGGGAATATTGAATGTATACCTAAAGAGGATTTTAACAAACACAACACCGAACGAAAAACATAGAAAGAAAATAAAAAATTACAGACCAAAAACCTTGGGGAAAAGAAATGGAGAGTACAATTATTCCAAGGATATGTAGACAACAAGAAAGTCCAACAAAGAAACATTTAGGTTGGAGGTGTGGATGCTACACTTGATTTGCAGCAATCATGTTTCAAAGAAAGACAAAAGAATTGCAAGTAATTCTAATTTTAGAAACATTATACAGACTCACTAAAAATACGAAAATGGACATACAGACACGATTGTGGAAAAAGGCTCAGTTAAAGGAGGCAAGACAATCCAACAACCTCACTGTATCAATCATAAACCTTGCCGACGCCAAACTCAGAAACAAATCGAAACATCAAACAAAAATTTCCACCAACAACTACCTTCTTCAATCAGTTTCACTAACGTGCTTCTAGATAGGTAATAAACAACTTTAGAGTAACTCAGTAGCTGGGAGAAACTATAACCATATATATAAAAAAAAAGTTATAAGCTTGACACACTGAACATGTCATTTTCAAATTTCAATTCAATAAACAGAAAGTAAAAAAGCAAGATAACAGAGGAGAAATCCTTCTTGAACTTACCATGAAGAAGTGCAGATAAACTTCCCATTGGCATGTAATCATAAACTAGAAGCTTTTCCTCCCTGCTGTAATAGTACGCCCTAAGAGGAACCAAGTTGTTGTGATCCATAGCTCCAACAGCTTCAATCTTCTCCCTGAATTCCTTCTCAGGAATGATCACATCCCTCAATCTCTTCACAGCCACAACACTTCCAAACTCCAAAACAGCCTTATAAGCAGTGCCAAATGTACCTTTCCCCAAAACCTCAGCAGAAGCCCTCAACAAATCCTCTAAATCAAACACCCTTGAATTATTACCAAAGAACACTAGTTTCTTAGCTCCACCATTTGCTCCAACCCCACCAGTCTCCCCTTTCCCACTGGCAGTCAATGCCGCTGCTGCAGCTGCAGCCACTGAGTATCCATTATTGAAACTGCCATTGTTCTCCCCACTTTCAACAATAGGTTTTTCCACGGAAGTATCAGTGGCATGATGCTGTTTAATTGATGTTAAGTCAACAGACCTTGTCTTTTGGCCGCTTCTTTTTCTGCACAGCAAGAAAACCACCAACAACAAAAGCAAGAATCCAACCACAGATCCAATTACAATGCCCGCAATTGCCCCTCCAGACAACCTATGCCTCTTACCCTCAAAAATCGGAGGCGTATTACCAACTGCAATAGCAGGAGGGGTTTCATTTTTGGGGCATAAATCAAGCGGTTTCCCACACAAGGTGTTCCCTGAAAATGCACTGACCGGCATTCCTTCAAGACCTTTGGGAATGGAGCCATTTAAGCTATTAAAAGAAACATTAAACTGGTCAAGATTTTGCAGGCTCAACTCAGGGATGGGCCCAGAGAAGTTGTTGCTTTCCAGATAAAGAGTCCTCAACCGAGTCAAATTGTTCAACGCCGGCGGAATTTCGCCGGAAAATTGGTTGCCGGCTAGATTCAAACGGACCAAAGAGTGAATATTAAGGACAGGTGAAATAGGCCCAGAGAATTGATTACCCTGAAGGTACAGATTTCTTAGCTCAGCACATTGAGGGAAGTCAGACGGAAGAGGGCCGGAAAGATGGTTGAGGCGGAGGCTCAGAGTACGGAGGCTGGTGAGGTTGCAGATGGTGTTAGACGGAAGAGAACCGGAGAGGGATGAAGCAGGAAGGCGGAGAACCACCACTCTGTTGTTCTGACATTGGACGCCGGCCCAGTTGCATGGCGTCGGACTGGAAGCATTCCACAGGTAAGTCCGGCCACCCACGGCGGAGCGAAGAGCCAAAAGGGCCTCACGGTCAGTACTCAGATCTGTAGAAATCGTAGCAACGAACAAGAAATTGATGAAGATGAAGAAGAATGGCAGCCGCATTGCTAATTTTGGCAATAAAAATCGCATCTTTTTTTTCTCCTCTTTAGCCTCACTCTCACTCACTCTTAATCACTGAAAAAAAATGGCTTTTTTCTTGGGTCAGTTTTTGAGGGAAAGAAAAAATGATGTTATGGGTTCATTTCAATGGGGAGGAAAACAGAGGAATGGGGAAAGAGAAAGGGGGTAGTAGACTGGTAGAGTGCATTTAGTTTGGAGGTTGCTGCTGTGTGTGCATTTTTATGAGTGCTGAGTTTTTTAGATGATGACAGTAAAGTGGCAAAGTGAGTTAAAAAAAAGTGTGTGTGTGTGTGTGTGTGACAACAAATACAATTGTTAATTGAGAGTAGTTGAGGGATGATAGAGAGAGGAGAGAGAGGACAATATTGGAGGATCCAGGCTGTGAATTTTGGAGTAAATAAAATCCACAAAAATGAAAAATGGAGGTTGGAAAAGAAACCCTAGCTGTTAATACTTGTACTTCTACTAAAGATGATGATGATGTTTAATTGTTAACTCCATCCAATGATTCAATGATGGATATAATGCAGATTTTGGTCAACCAAAGTCTTCAAGAAGCAACTAAACAAATATACTCTGAAGAAAGAAAAAAGAAAAAGCAACAAAGTAAAAAAGAAATATGTTTCTTTAGGACTTTAGAGTGTAAAGGATGAAAATATTTTGTTTCCATAGTTACATACTACTTCCTCCTATACTTATTATAAGTCATTTTAATTTTTTTTAAATTTAATGTAGTACACATTTTTAATTGACAAAACAACCTTAAAAATATATTTTCACATTCGTTGTGTTCTCTTGATTGTTATGAAATATTTTTAAGGTTTTTTCGTCGATTAAAAATATGTATTATGTTAAACCTATGACAAATCAAAATACCTTATATTAAAAACCGAAGGGAATATATTGTAGTGCAGGGATTTGATGGATATAATGAGTCTATAAGATGAATAAAACTTCTAATTTTTTTTCTTTTTGGTTCGAATTCTCTAATTTTAGACTTATGGTTAAGGATTAAGAAGATTTTACCATTCTACCACAACTCATCTAGTTTAGTGATTTAAAATCTCTGATTGAAGTATAATCATTCCCTTAAATTTTGAGCTTTATAATTTGTCAGTGTACTTTTGAAAGTGTATACATTTAATAACAATAAAAAAAGTGAAAAGGGTTATTGATTAATTTCACATTACATATCTGGATTTTGTGGTAGTACACACAATGTGTGGGATATATGGAGTGATGCAACGTTTCACGTTTCAGGTTAGTCACTTTTTGGAGATTTCCACTGGCTTCATCATAGCTTTTTTTCATCTCATTTCTATTTACGTTATTATGTCTATTTTTTTTGTTTCTTCTGGTGGATTATTGTTGGAGATGTATATAATTTTCTCAAGTTAACCTCGAAGGTTCTCCTACACTATTATATCGAACTATATTTTGTTTACAAGAGTATGTTTTCTTTTCTTTCAAGGGGAAAAAAAGGTATTTCTCTTTGGCATTTTAGTTACTAAGATTGTGTTTATGTATAAAGGTTTTGTCAGATTATTGAACAAACTACTTTGTCTCAAATGACATAGCATTAGCCAACTTTCAAAACGTCTTAAGGTTAACAAATAAGAATTGGCATGCCGACATATTCAACTACTCAAGACTCAATTGGATAATTAAATAAAGTTAGCTGACTTGAGTAATTGAGAATGAAGAAAGGCTCATTTCAAAAGTTTCTTTTTTATTACTCCATCCATTCTAATTCAATACACCTATTTCGACATACACGGAGATTAAGAAAAAAGTGACTAATGTAATTTATGTGGTTAATATTAAATAAAATCCCTACTATACCCCTATTAATGACTAGTAAGTTACTGGTTGATATGAGAGAGTATTTGTTAAAATTAATAAATGTTCTTAATTTCAGTGAAAGTAGAAAAGGTACTATTATATTAGAGAGTTTATAGTAAAAATTAATTTATTGTAAGTGGAACTAAGTTTTGAAACGTCCCAAAAAGGGAAGTGAGCCTATTGAATTGGAATGGATGGAGTAGCAATTTTTATTAACTACTCCCTCCATTTCAAAATGTAGGTCGTTTAAAGTTTGGAGAGATTTTTCAAAATGTAGGTCGTTTTACAAATTCTAGGCAAATTAATGACTATTTTTCTAATTTTACACTCAATAAATGATGCTAATCTATTTTTATTTAGTCTTGTTTATAGTTTCAATGTAATTAATGAGGGGTAAAAAAGATATTTAACATATAAATTAATTGTTAGATGATTGCCTCCTTAGTTTACATGCCAAGTCTAAAAAGACTTACATTTTGAAATTGAGAGAGTATACAGATTTGCAAGGTTACTATCCATTTAAATGTTTTTCTTTTCTTTCCTCATTTGTTTGCTCTCATTAACAAAAGACTAGATGCTTGTCCCGGACAAATGCCTGGGGCGTCCTCCCACCTAATAAATTAATATGTAAATAATCAAAACTGATTAGGAATGAATTTAGTTTTTGATGAAGATAATTGATTGATCGAAAATTAATTTTTTAGAAAGTCCTAAATAAGTGGAGAAGGAAAGTTCCATTCACTGTCAAATTCAAAATTTGAATGAACATGGCCATCTGATCTCTTCGTTAATATTGTAAATATATTTTTTGTTTTTAAAAGGAGGTAACACGTGGCAGAATGGTTTATGCAATATGGTGCATTTGGAGCGAAAACCTTTTAATAAGAAATTGCCACATCAGCATCCTGTTTTCTGCTTTAATAGGGTACTAGATGCTTGGCCCAGGCAGATGCCTGGGCGCCCCTCTATTTTAATTTTGTGTTAATAAATAAATGAATTCTTGATTTGAAAAAAATAGAATAGCTATACATTTAGTTTTTTCCTTTTCTTAGCCAAAAATAAAAATAAAAATAAAAAATCATCTACCAAAGGAAAAAAAAAATACTGAAAAGTACAACGATTCAGAAATCATACAAAAAATGTAAAGTAATAAAGAGGATAAGTTTATGGGCAAATTTAAATGCTATTTTAATTTGATTGATAAATGATAAATGTTAGGAGGTAAAATTGTGTAGCTGTTTTTGTAAAATAGTTTTTGTTTTTCCGGATAAGAATTTTTTTTCTTTTAAAAACGGATGACATGTGGCAGAATGGTTAATGCAATATGGTGCATTTGGAGCCAAAAATTTTTAATAAGAAGTTGCCACATCAACATCTTGTATTCTGCTTTAATAGGGTAAAAGGAATAAAAGGGATAACCGTGATTTCAAAAATAATCTTATGCACTAAAGCAATAGCTATTTTGAAATAGAAGAAGTATTGTACATTATACACTCTTATTAGCTGATAGCATAAGATTCTAAATATTAATTTGTAGCACTATACTAGAAGCTATATATATATATATATTTTCACTGTGGGAAAAAGATAAATAAACCTAAGGAATGTTTTTCCTTGTGGGAAAAAAAAAATTAAACAAGAGAGATAGAAAAGACAAACCGCTGAAAATTTCTGCACATGAGCCCCAGGCCTCCAAGCCATTCTGATTTTTTCTTTTCCTCTTTTTTTTTTCTTTTTAATAATTTTAAAACTGAAAAAGGAACAATCGGGCAGGGGGGTGTGTCTGTTGACCTATTCAATGATTCCATCACATCCCAGATGACAATTCTTTTTTGAACGTTTAATTTGGTGAAGGAAAATGAAAATCCAGCAGGTTGACAATAATTTAATTGGGAGAATGGTATTTTCATCCTAAGATTTAAGCCACACCATCTAAAACATCCCAAAGTTTAAAAACATGTCATTTTCATCCTAAACTTTTCAAAAATATGTAATATTAGGACATTTGTTAATTTTTTGAAGTTATTAACGACGATATTTATTCAGTTTCTTTTCCTCTATTTTTTTTAGTCAAAAAGTTTCATACTTGCGTTTGGTAAATTTGGTCCATGCCAAGCAAAAAAGTTGCATGCCCCTGCATCAATTACAACACCAATTTTTATAATGATACTACATATTTAAAAAAAATAAATGAAATAGGACTTATTTTCTAATTAGAACATACACAATACCGCTCATGATTGTTATCAATCTAGAAGGTGAATCTTAGATTTTTTTTCTAAGCAAGGGAAGAATGGATGATGTGAAGACCAAATTAGATTTAACTATTTTCTTATAAAGTGGGAGTTAGTGAAACGCGTTAAATGATTAAAAAAATTGGGGGAGGAGAAACAGAATAAAATACCACCACTAATTAATTAATTGGAATTAAAAATTTAACGAATATCCTAATGTAACATGTTTTTAAAAAATTTGGGATGTAAATGGCATGTTCTTAAACTTTGGGATGTTTTGGCTGGTGTGACCCAAACTTTGAGATAAAAAGACCCATTTTTCCTAATTTAGAACTCAAAAAGCTCGGATGATTATTCGTTGGAAAAAAAAAAAAAATTGAGGGTGTTAATAAATATTGGAAGTGAATTTTAAAAAATTGTAAGAAGGATTACTGAACATGAAGGGCAGAGAACAATGGTTTACTTGAACCATGCCTTGTCTGTTTTTGTCGGTCCATTATTAATAATTACTTAAAGAAAACTAACTATATATACTTATTACTATTATTTTTGCTTACAATTAATTAATAAACTAACATTCACAAAGTCATCATTGAAATTGACCAATGTCTTTTGGGTTATATATTCTGTGGTGCCACAAATATTCCCACCCGATGAGTTCAGTAATTAATTTCAACTCACAAATCAAATCAATTTTGCAGAGTACTACTACTAATCAGGCTTCATTGCACATGCAACCTCCCGGTACTATTATTAATTCGAAATTCTAATTTACTAAATTAGTGTTATCACACTTGATTCATTGAGTGCTGTATGGGAAGAGTAATATTTACGTCACAAATTACTCCCTCAGTTCAATAATTATTGTCCAGTTTGGTTTTTTTTTTTAGTATAAATTAAACTAAAAATGAAAACTCAAAGTGGACAATAATTTTGGAACAGTACTCTAAAATATTTGTTTCTTTTCACCAAAAGAAAAACAAATTTGGTTCGTTTTTGTATGTAAAATGCACAATATACATATATGACATAATTATGTCGATTTGTTTGTTTAGTAAGGGAAAAAAAAATGTAACGCTGACGAAGGTAAAATTTAATGTTTTTGGAGAATCTTCATTGTTTTTATTATGATAATATTTTAAATTATTGCATCAACAAAATCCATGAGTGATGTCTATTATCGTGTGGTAGTTCATTCATATATAAGCAACAATTTAAAAGTCTTAAAATGCATTTTTTTCCCCTTGAAATTATGTGTGTCGAGTTTTTCGTCGACTTATCTTTTGTTTTACTTGATTTTCTTAACTTTTGGATGTTATAATTGTTTGGTAATCGATCAATTTATCTTAGAGAAGTCAAATTTCCGATATTACATTTATATTTGCACAAATTATGGTTTTTCTTTTTTAGTACAAATTAAACTAAAAATG